CAGGGTCTCACTATGTTGCCCTAACTAGCTGGGCTATATAAATCACAGACCTCTAGAATTAAAGGTGTGTGCCTCCTTGTCCAGATTCTTTTTAATTTTTAAATTGACAAGTAAAAATTACAAGTATTGCCAGTGTTCAGCATGTTTGGTGCACTCATATATTGTAGAACAACCAAATGAAGCAAACTGGCATACAGACTAACTCACAAGTCTTGTGTGTGTGTGTGTGTGTGTGTGTGTGTGTGTGTGTGTGTGAGAGAGAGAGAGAGAGAGAGAGAGAGAGAGAGAGAGAGAGAGAGATAAAAACTCATCCTCACGGTGATTTTTTTTTGGGGGGGGGCAGTTAGTGCTGAAGATTAAACCAGGCCTCACACAGCTAGTGAGTGTCCCTCACACAGCTAGTGAGTGTCCCCTCACACAGCTAGTGAGTGTCCCTCACACAGCTAGTGAGTGTCCCCTCAGCAATTTTCAAGAACGTGCTCATTTGTAACTACAGTCACCACATTATGCAGTAAATCTCTGGCACATCTTTCCTTGTTCTTGGATGATTACAAGTTTCCTTTTCCTATTTAACTGACCTGTGAGGACCTTTCCGGCTAAAGCAAACCATACCGGAAATGCAAGGGCTACTAGAAACATATGCTTTTGTTTTGACCCCTTTATTTCCACCTCAAGTACACTTTTTAAGATGGAAAAGGAAGCAGGCCTGCTCTGAGTATGTTATTGCCAGCCACAGTATGACTAGAAACCACAACTATACATGAAGAAACTGAGCGCAAAGAAGCTACCTGCTCACTCGGCTACAAAATGGAGCAACCCCCTGCTGCAGTCACAGCACTCCATTTTTCAGAGTCCTGCTGTTTTCATCTGCTTTGAGAAAGAATTGTGTATTTTCACTATATATTAGACAGTTGAGACTTCAAAGGCAAGGACTTCCTATAGCATTTATTAACAATTCTGTGCATAAAATGCAGGCTGGTTGAAGAATGACATCTTTTCCACTTACTGTTATATTTAGAGCCCCTAGAATAGTCACTGGCACAAAAAGAAGAAAAAAAAAACCTGTTTAATAAGCATTTCTTGGTTATCCAGGCATGGTGGTGCATGCCTTTTAATGTCAGCACTAGCAGACAGGGCAAGGACATCTTTGCAAGTTCCAGGCCAGATAGATCTACACAGTTAGACACTGTCTCAAAAACCCTTTGTTGTTAAAACTCCTGGATTTCAATTGAGGGAAGATACTGATAGGCACCTGCACAGGCAAATGATTACAGCATGAAACAGTGCTTCAAGGCACATCCAGAATTTCCACGCTGAGACAGTTCCACTCTTCACCAGAAGATGGTGATATTCACACATAAAGCCACCTTCCATAAGCAGGGTCTGGGCTTCCCTGCCTAGAGTTCTCCAGTCATCTCATTCCATGTTCAAATGGACTGGGACAGAAAAGTTATTATTCTTCTTAAACATAAGGAAGCTCAGATTCCAATATTCCCCAAGTCTTTGATCAGGAAGTGGCAGAGAAGAATTTAGAGCTAAAAAAACAAACAAACAAACAAACAAAAAACAAAGAGAGCCCCAGGCTGCAGAGAATTCAGTGGTTAAGAGCACATACTGCTCTTATTCAGTTCCCAGAACCCAGGTCAGGTGGCTCACAACTGCCTGCAGCTCTGATCCAGGGTATTCAATGTCTCTGGCCTTCTGGGGTACTCATGTGCCCAGTGACATATCCCTCTCCCACATACACAATCAAATTAAATAAGTCTCCAGGACAGCCAGAGAAACAGAGATTCTGTGTAAAAACAAAACAAAAACTTAAAAAAAAAAAAATGAACTCCTATTTAAACAATTTTTGTAGTATCACCACAGATCTTCAATATAAAAGCTAAAATTAGATGGGTATATACTGAAATTTGACCACTAATTACCAAGTTTGGTTTTCTAGGTGTTAGAGACAGTTCTCATGTGGACAGGCCTGGAAGTTCTGATCCTCCTGGCTCTATCCCACAAGTGCTGGGAGTAGCTATATGAAGACTTGTAGACAGAGTTTCTTTTCCAACTGGTCCCACCACCCTTCAGTCCCAAATAAACACACAGAGACTTATATTAATTATAAACTGTTTGGCTGATGGCTTAGACTTCTTACTGGATAGCTCTCTATAATCTATGTTTTTCTACATGGCCTTATCTTACCAGAGAATGCCCTGAGTTCTATCTTCCCGGTAGCTACATGGTGTCTGCCTCTGGCAACTCCTCTCTGCCTCCTCTCCCCAGCACTCTCTTCATCTGGTAGTCCCACCTATACTTCCTGCCTGGCGACTGGTCAATCATCGTTTTATTGATCAACCAATAAGAGAAACATATACAGACAGGGCATTCTCCATCAAAGACTTCTTAGATAACATAATGGGAAATGGAAAGGAAAGAATGTTTAATTCATTCATTCATTCATTATTTTTTTTTTCTTGTTTGGTTTTTGAAGACAGCGTTTCTCTGTGTAGCCCTGGCTGTCCATGTCCCTGAAAGTCACTCTGTAGACCAGGCTCTAGGATTAAAGTCGTGTGCCACCCACTGCTGTCCAGTGATTCATTCATTCTTAAGACAAGGTTTTCCTATGTAACTCAGGCTCACCCTGAATTGGCAATTCTCTTCCTACTTCAGCCTCCAGAATTACAAGTACAGGGATTACAAGCATTTGCTGACCATGGCCAGCTAGAAGGGATGTTTCAGTCAGTGTTTGGTTGGGGAGAAAAAGAAACAAGTTTTGTACCTCTCCAGGTCGGATCTTGATGAAGAAGCTGCTACGCTTGTAAGAAATCTTTAGCACTTTGGGCCAAGGAAAACGGTTAATTCTCAATTTATCTTTGTAAACCAAAAGGCCACTAGAGCAGACTCCCAGGATGATATCCACTCCCTCCAAATCCTGAAAAGAGAAGCATCAGCATTTCTCTGAGTGAAGTGGTAAACACATTTTTGGCTATTATTAAATAATCTGAAGTGACCAACAACCCCCAACAGGTCCAAAGCATACCATAAAAACAACACTTAAAGTTTGTGCTAGTGGTGCATGACTTTAATCCCAGTACTTGGGAGACAGAAGCAGGCGGATCTCTGTGAATTTGAGGCCAGCCTGTTCTACAGAGTGAGTTCCTGGATAACCAGGGCTACACACAGAGAAACCCTGTCTTGAAAAACAAAATAAAACAAAACAAAAACATAAGCAGTCATTGTCCACTGGAGTATTGTCTAAGCTAGTAGACAACCTCAGTGATCTCACTAGGCACCAGGGTAAGAGTTATCACTGTTATATCAGTGAGATGGCCCAACAGATAAAGTCATTTGCTACCATCCCTGACAACCAGAGTTCAATCCCCAGAATCTACATAGTAGAGTGAAAATTCCCACATTCCCCTCTGATCTCCACATATCCACCGTGGCATATATATGTTTATTACTATATAAATTTATCGAAAGAGATCTGATAGTAAAAAATTTGATGTTAAGTACATTAAATTACAAATACTATTCCTAAGCCTAGAAAGAACACTAAAGTAAAATGGCATTACATTAATGTACCTACTTATTAAGAAAAATTCAAAATATTAACCACATAATTCAAGGAAAACAAACTGCACCTGAGTTAATCAAATGATTTTTATCTAGTAAGTAATCAAACCCAAAATTAAGTGCTTCCTGACTACTTTTTCCTAAAATGAGAATAGAGAAAATTATTAGTACCTAAATGTGTTATATACAAGAAATACAAAGATAAAAAAATCACATACAGCTTCAATTCAAAGACTACATAACTGAAAATTTACCAAAATTTATATTTTTAAAGTCTACAGGTTAAAATTATCTTTCTCTTTTTAAAATTTTTTAAAGGGGGGCTGGAGAGACAGCTCAGTGGTTAAGAGCACTGGCTGTTCTTCCAGAGGTCCTGGGTTCAATTCTCAGTACCCACATGGCAGCTCACAACTGTCTGTATTTCTACTTCCAAGAGATCTGACACCCTCACAGAGATATACATACACAAAGGAAAAATACCAATGAACATAAAGATAAAAATTACAATTAAAACTTTAAAAATTAATTAATTAGTTATGTGTGGGCAAACACCTGCCACAATTGAAGTACTTGTGGAGTTCAGAGGAGGTCAAAGTTGGTTCTCTCCTTTCACCATGTGGGTCTCAGGGATCAAACTGCTTACCAGGCTTGGTGTCAGGTGCCTTTACCCACTGAACCAGCTTGTTAGCTTTCTTTCTCTTTTGATGGCATTACTGGGAGGAACACTGTGCTTTGTAACATTTTAAAAGGGCACATGTTATCTGACTCCATCCACTTCTGACGCCAGCCTCCATTAGGAAATGAGAAGTAAAACCTAGCAGATTTCAGTCCTGCAAGTGCTCCTCAGCTGACTCACTGAGGTCTTAACAGCTCTCTTCAGGGTCATGGGAGTCACCATGCCCAGTTCAGAACAATTCAGAGAAGAGCAACGGCTTTAGAGAGCCATATAGCCGAGAAGGATAATGAACTTCTGATGCCCCTGCCTCTAATTTCCAAGGGCTGGGATTATGGGCAAGCACACCACATCCAGTTTCTGTGCTGCTGGGGACTGAACCCAGGACTTCATGCATGCTAGGCAATCGCTCTATCAGCTGACCTTTATCTCTAGCCCATTTCCCTTTTGTGGCTAAGTATCTCTCTTCCTTTATTTCTTACTGGATACGGCTTTGTCTACATCATAGGTACTAGCTAAGTTCCTCTGTAGAAGCCTCCAGATCATCCCTTGTGTCCTGTCCCTGGCAATCTTTGCAACACCCCAGCCATTTTAGTAGCCAGTTAGCAGCCAACTGACTTGCATTAATTAGGACAAGGTTCTCTGGTAAGATGGAAATACTTAGATTAATAGATATGGGTTAATAATTAAAAGAGAGCTAGTCAGTAAGAAGCCTAGCCATTGGCCAACAGTTTTATAATTAATATAGCATTCGTGTGTTTATTTGGGGCAACGCAGCTGTGGGACCAGGCTGGAAAGAAACTCCAGCAATATTCATGCTTCTGATTCCCTAACCCAGTAGTTCTCAAAAGAGCTATGGCTTATCCGATGCGCATGAGTCATTTGCAGAGCTTGTCACAGGGCACTGAGGTCTTTATTACCTCTGTGAGAGACCTGAAACATGTATTTCTAACAAGTTCCTAGGTGGTGTTAAATGCCACTGACTGGGAGACCAATGGTTCTGATTCAGGCTTCATTAGCACCATCTGGAATGCCATTAAATATAGAGCTAGCGTCTCTTTCTAGCCAGCCTATAAACCTGGGCAGAGCTATGGAATCTGCATATTTAGTAGACATCCAGGTGATTCTTACATGGATAATGCTGCTTGTAGAACCAAAATACCCCTTGATGCCTCTCTGCATCTTCAAATATAACTTTATTTTAGAAAATACAATTTATTTTCCTCTAGACATTCAAATTTTTATCTTTACAATGTTTTGGTTGCAATTTTTTTTTTCTTTTTGGTTTTTCAAGACAGGGTTTCTCTGTGACTCTGGAGGCTGTCCTGGCACTCGCTCTTGTAGACCAGGCTGGTCTCGAACTCACAGAGATCCTCCTACCCCTGCCTTCCGAGTGCTGGGATTAAAGGTGTGCTCCACCACCACCTGGCTGGTTGCAAATTTCTTACAAATAGGGATTACTTTGTTGATATTCATATAACGCAATTTTTCCACTTAAAGTATACAATTCATTTTTCAATATATTTATTTTGAGGCATACAATCACCCCCCCTCAAAAAAAAAAAAAAAACTTAAGAAGCCATTCTCTAGCATGGTGGTGGCAGCTCACACCTCTAATTCCAGCACTTAGGAGGCAGAGGCAGGCAATCTCTAAGTCTAAGGCCAGTCTAGTCTACAGAGCAGCAGAGTTCGAGGACAGCCAGGGCAACACAGAGAAACCCTGTCTTGAAAAAAACAAAATAATAAAAAAAAAACTACAATAAATAAATGCTGTTAAGAGGTATAAAACAGGTGTGCCACATTACTAGGTCTGTGTCATATGATTTACATACATGTTAATATAGGTCAAAATTATCCCTACCTTTGCTTTGTGAAGATCAACTCCATACATGGACAACTTTTTGGCATTCTCAAGAAATTCCAAGTCAGCCTGAGCTGGAGTCATGGACCTTTGGCAGAATAAAAAGAGAAAATTCAGTGACACAGCAGAAGCATTTATGTTATGAATAACTGAATGTTCATTTTACTTTATATAAACACACATACCGTGTGTGTGTGTGTGTGTGTGTGTGTGTGTGTGTGTGTGTGTGTGTGTGTGTGTGTATCCTCAAAATAATTATGGAATGAGAATCTTCTCACTTCCTAAATAATTGAAATATGCCTTAGAAAACAAAAATTTAAGAAAACCAGATGTCACCAAAAAGCAATCAGAAAGGCAATCTTAATCCAACCATTTGCTATGAACTACCCCCATCCATCTGGAATTCAATACCCCTCTCTTCAGCCTTTTTCTGTGTCACACATGAACTCCTAATACTTTTTTTTAAATCCAAGGAGATGACCAAATTACATCCTCAGTACAATTTACAAGATCCTCTTAGCTGCCCTTTTCTCTCTATACCCTGAATTGAGTTATTATGGAAATTAAGCTGGAGGGCAAGCTGACGTTACTTAACTAGGACTCTTAATGGGGGCAGATTTGATGAAAAGAAATTTTCTGGTAACAGATGGTGCTCTGCCCACTGATCTCAATGAATAAATTGGCTAATAGAAGCATCCTGATAATAGGACTGTTTTCTGTTATTAAGATGTCTTCATTGCCAGGCATATAATGAGTTAGACTTGTTTGAAAACAGTCAGTCTCGCTGTCTAAACATTCACTGTGCCAGCCTCTCCTTTATAAGTTTCTTCTCTTTTGAAGGATGTTCTTGAGCTATTTGTTAGCTTTCAAGACAAAGACATCACTCATAATGCTGCACAACTTGGACCAATTACGACAGTTCACAGTAACAACAAGGCGGCCGGATTCCCAAGGAAAAACACACTGACAAGCAGCTTTCCTCTAAGACTGCCCGGAGCCATGGAAGCAGCAGGGGTCTCTACTTAACCAGGAAAGGTCTCTACCAAACCCATCTGCCTTTACCCTCATTAAAAAGAACAAAGGATTTCTTGAAACAATAACCACCAAAAGGAGAGAAAAAAAATTACCTCACCTTTCCTGTATAAATATTTCACAAGCTCTTAAGCATCACACCCAAATTTATTAATTGAAAGTGTAAACAAGGGGGGTGGGAACTATATGTAAGTTATTCAAAACATCTCAGGCAACTTTTATAATTGCATACATAATTAATATATATAATCCATATAATCGATATGCTCTTCTACTTAAGGTTGGTCTCAGATATTTTATGTTTTTGTTGTTCCTTTTATGATGTGTTAATAATAGAACCCAGATCATGTCACCAGCAAGTCAGAATCCAGTAAGAAGCAGCAGGCTCACGCCACATCTTATGGACTTAGTCATGTCTACACTCCTTCAGTCCCCTCTATAAAGTAAGTATTATAATGTCTATTTGTACGTCATAGAGATAAACAATGATTTTTTTTTCCGGTCTTCAATAAATACATGAAATGTGATTATCAAGATCAAATTAGATTATGTTTGTAAAACTGCTTTGTAAACTACAAATGTTCATTACTACTGAAACTTTAGTTTTCTAATAGTTCAGTAGTCCATCTACATACAGATCATAAAATAAAATTACAAAAAATAATTTGTAGCCAGGCATGGTGGCACACAACTGTAATTCCAGTACTTGGGAGATGGGGGTAGAAAGATAAGATGTTAGCACAGGTTACATGAGTCCCTGTCTCAACCCCTACCCTCACTCCACGCCCCCAAAAAAATTTTTTTTAAGAGGAAATAACCAGGGATGGTAGCATATATCTTTAATCCTAGCACTTGTTAAACAGAGGCAGGTGGATCTCTTGTGAACTCAAGATTAGCTTGGCTTACAAAATGAGTTCCAGGCCAAGCCACATGGTGAGACTATGGTGATACCTGTTAAGAAATAAAGCTTGCCTGAAGATCAGAAGGTGGAACTAGCCACTAGTTAACCATAGTGATCTGGAGGTCTGTACAGACAGACAGGAAGTGATACAGCTGGGCAGAAAACAGAACATAAAGCAGGAAGAGACAGGAGTCAGCCCCTTTTCAGTCTTAGGATTTCATAACTCTAGTGACTGGCTGCTCTGCTTCTCTGATCTTTCAGCTTTCACCCCCTAAGATCTGACTCTGGGTTTTTACTATTATGATCAATTAGAACTGGAGCCGGGTGGTGGTGGTGCACACCTTTAGTCCCAGCACTTGGGAGGCAGAGGCAGGAGGATCTCTGTGAGTTCGAGACCAGCCTGGTCTACAAGAGCTAGTTCCAGGACAGCCTCCAAAGCCACAGGGTTAAATCACTTAAATTCATGCACAAATTTTAAAACAAAGGCTGGGCATTGGTGGCACACACCTTCAATCCCAGCACTTGAGAGGCACAGGAAGTTGGATCTCTGTGAGTTCGAGGCCAGCCTGGTCTACAGATTGAGTTTCAGGACAGCCTCCAAAGCTACACAGAAAACCCTGTGCCATAACAAACAAACAAATTAACAAACAAACAAACAAAAACTCCACACACAACAAAAGCCTTCCTCCAGATCTAGAGCTGGGGAGATGGTTCATCTCTTGTTGTGCAAGCACAAGGACTTGAGCTCAAATTCCCTGTACCACCAATAGAAAAAGCCAAGCAGTGTGTGCCTGTAATCCTAGTGCTGAAGAGGCAGAGGCAGGAGGACCCCAGTCTTCCTGGCCAGTTAGTACCAACTAGTGAGCTCCAGATTCAGTGAGGCATCCTGACTCAAAACATAAGGCTGATAGGAGCTGGAGAACTGGTGCAGAGATGTCTCCATGGTTAAAAGTGTTCACTGTGAAAGCAGAAGGACCAGAGTTCAGATCCCAGCACCCAGGTGAATAAGGGCAAGATGTCATTCCACCCACACCTATAACCTCGGCTGAGCAGGACAGAGGCAGGAGGACTGTTGAGGCTTGCTGGATGCTAGCCTAGTTAAAAAGATAATGAGCTCCCGGTTAAGTGAGAGACCATACCTCAAAGGCACAAATTAGAAGACAATGAAGAAGGGCACCTGATGCCTCCTCTGATCTCTGCTCACAGAGGTGCCCATGCATACATACACACACACCTCACACACACCACACACATGCATGCACACACACACCACACACAAAAACATCTCACACACAGGTACCCATGCATGCACACACACACACACAAAAACATTTTACACACAGTAAGGTGAAGAGCAATAGAGATGGCATCAATGTTACTCTCCAGCCTTCAAACATGCTTGCACAGGAACATGTTATCTGCATACATTACACACACTCTCACACACACACACACTTGAATTTTTCCCCCTACTTTCATTTTTCAACTCTAAAGGACATCAACTTGAATATACATATTCAAGCTAGGTAAGTGTGACTCAACACTTATGAGAAGGAGGTAAGTAGACATCTTAAAACCTTCATCTTGAAACAATACTTAAAGTTTGGTTGATGCTTTTTATGTTACTTTTAGATCTTTGAAACAGTTATGGCTCTTTTTTTTTTCATTTTCTTTTTTTTTTTCAAAGACAGGGTCTCTCACTATGTAACTCTGGCTGTCCTGGAACTCACTACATAGACCTCCCAACTGCTGGGATTAAAGGAGTGTGCCAATACTCCCAGCTAACAATTATGATTCTTGTTTGGTTTTGGTTTTCAAAACAGGGTTTCTCTGTGTAGCCCTGGCTGTCCTAGAAGTCGCTCTATAGATCAGGCTGACCTTGAACTCACAGAGATCCACCAGCCTCATTTAATCCAGAATGTACCACCACTGCCTGGTTCAATTATGATTTTTTTTAAAAATTTATTTATTATGTATACAGTATTCTGTCTGCATGTATGCCTGCAGTCCAGAAAAGGGCACCAGATCTCATTATAGGTGGTTGTGAACCACTACGGGTTGCTGGAAATTGAACTCAGGTCCTCTGGAAGAGCAGCCAGTGCTCTTAACCTCTGAGCCATCTCTCCAGCTCCCTCAACTATGACTCTTAAGTCATATGTAATGCAAATGATTTTCTCCTAAGCCATGGTACATTGCCAATCTAGTGGTCCCAATATTCCTGAATACTTCTGTATGTACTTCCTACAAATAAGGACAGCCTTCCACACAGTGTCAAAACCTAGAAATTAACACTGACACATAACGCCATATAATCCTTAAACCCCATTCATCAAGCTCAGCCAGTTGTTAGAGAATGATCCAGATGTAGATCGTGTGTCTCCAGTCTCATCTGTGCAGGTCTGACTCTTGCGCTCCAGGCAAGAGCTTCACAATGGGCTGTATCCCCAGCCCCGGGCCACGAGTCTTTAACAGGAAGGTCCCAGAAGTGGAGCTCTGCCTGCACTGCATCCTTTCAAGTGTTCATAATTTCAATTTGTCCCTTCAAAGACGATGTCCACTCTAACACTGATGTATGCCAAGTTTCTCTAAAATTCTTCCTTATCTCTTTGTAGCTATTAAGTATTTTATGGGGATTCTTTTCTAATTTTCTGGGTATCTTCCGTCAGACTGTTTATTTATGTGTATCATCATGGTCGCACAGATCAAGGCGGGGCTTTGGCACTCCCATGCTCAGCAAGGGCTGCTCCACTACATCTCTAATCCAGACTCTCATTTTACTCAATGCGATATAATCACCTATTTTGCATATCTATTTCCCTGCTTAAACTGCCTGAGATTTAGTCAGTGGGAGCTTCTACAAGGACAATCCTCCTGCAACAGCAATTTGAGTCCTTCTAAACATTTCTTATCTTTTTGAGCACCTCTTCCCAGCTCAGTGTATAATTAAAGTATACCAGTATTTATATAGGTACCTATTTACATGTCTATCACCACCTGTCACTATACTGAAGCCGCGAATGTGCACTGAAACCTCTAGTTTTTAATGCAACACCACCAGGTTCATTTCTCCCTCTCCATACAGATCAGAGAGTGGTGGTACACACTTTTAATCCCAGGACTCAGGATAAAGAGGTAGAGAGATCTCTGTTAGTTCCAGGCCACACTAACTACACAAAATTGATCCAGTCCTAAAACAAAAAGCTCATACAAAGATGATTTCAGCACTTGGGATCCCATGCCTTTAATACCAAGACTTATGAGAGGTATATTTAAGATAGGAACAGGGTCTCAGAGCTGGCATTCATTCTCCAGCCACACTGCAGATAGGAAGACATTGAAGTCTCCAGCCATGTTGAGGAGAGCATAGCAGTTTGACTGAACCTGAGGAGCAGTGAAGTCGGGAGCAGTGTGAGGATAGCCCCTTTGGTCTGAGCTGAGGTAGAGGTAAGAGCTAGGGATGGCTGCTTTGCTTTTCTGATCTTCAGCTTGAAGCTTGAACCCCAGTATCAGTCACTGGGTCTTTTAGTTTTTGTGCTACAATTTTAAGTCTTTTTTGATACTATAGTCAAATGTGAGAGCAGTTTCTTATGTGTGTTCATGTGAGTGCATGGGGTGTGTGCATGCATATATGAGAGTGAGCATGTGCATGTATGTGCAGGTCAGAGGTCACCCTTCAGTGTCTTTCCTCAGGTGCTTTTCACCTTGTCTTTTGAAATAGGTCTCTTCACTGACCTCACCAATTATGCTACACTGGTTGGCCAATGAGGCCCCAAAATCCATCTGTCTCCACCCTTCCAGAGCTGGGATTATTAGCATGTGATGTGAGCTTGAACTCACATCTTCATCCTTGCAAGGCAAGCACATTACCAACTGAGCTGTCTTCCCAGTCTAAAAGCAGTTTCTTAAAGAGTAGTGAAATGTAAAATCTGAAAACAAATCAATGAAATTTTTGTGTTGTTAAAATTCATTACATGTTTGAGATTTCACTGGTCTACCTTGTATTTTCAGTGGATCTTTTTACTCATGCATTATTCTATTTATTTATTTGTTTGTTTCTTTAGGTTTTTTAAAGACTGTTTCTTTGTGTAGCCCTGGCTGGCCTGGAACTCACCAAGATCTGCCCGCAAACATAAAATAAACAAATCTTAAAAAAGTTTAAAAATAAATTCTGGCAGTTCTCTTTTGACACACTGTGCTCCCATAAGAGTTGGGTGACACAGGAGATGACTGCTACACAGGTTATAAACTTTAAATCCTTATGGATCTGGGTAGTGTGGGTAAACGCACTTGTCACCAAGCCTGACAACCTGAGTTTGAGTTCTGGAACCCACATGATGGAAGGAGATCTGACTCTTGCAAGCTATCATCTGATTTCCATACATGCACTAGGGCATACACACGTGTGACACATATACACATGTGTACACACATGTAATCAATTAATGAAAATTATTATGGTTTTCACAACTGAGGTGTCTGAACCTTGGGGGCAATAAGACAGTCAGAAGCAGGCCATATTGAAACAAAGGTCTCTCATTTGAAGCTTCACAGTCCATTAGAACAACCTCAAAGAGAACAGGAAGACAGCTCAATAGCTAGACAGAATACTTGTGGCTACCTATCACAGCAAGCTCCTGAGACCATGCTTTGGATTTCTCTTGAACAAAGGGATGTTTTAAATCTTTGTAACACAGTGCATTGTCACACAATTCAGGATGCTATGCCAATGTGATGTAAATCAATGCCAGGATCAGACTAAAGCAGCATGTGTAATTTAGCTATAGTTAGTCATTCAAATAAAAAATGGGTATGTAGAGGGGGGGCTCATTTTAGTATTAGATAACCATTATTGGATTTTTATTTCCTTTTCCAAACTTAGTCATTGCCTCGTTTCTTCTAAAGTAATAATCTCAATTAGACACTCAGGAACCAGAGAAATTTTAAGTACATCATTGAAGTTCACAGGGCCAGGACAAAACATTAGCAAGATCTCAACCTGCCTCAAACCAAGGATAAGCCTTGCTCTTAATCATGGTGTGCTACCTCCCAATGTTACTAATTATATTCACTAAAAGCAGTAAAGTCAGTGAACTTGATGAAGACTCAACTTTACAAAATACTTTCAAGAGTAGACAACCCTCTGAATACACCCATGTGCACAGAACCAGTCAGAAGTTCTGGCTCTAAGGATCTTAAAGCATCTAATATAGTATATATTTAAACCTGAAACAAAAAGGTTTAAGCAAAAATAGTGATAGATACCATTTATTGGGTACCTACTAAATGCAAGGCCTTGTGCTAAGTGGTTCCCCACACATAGCATCTCATTTACTCTTCACCCTACAATGCCCATTACTCTGATAACCAAAACAAAATCAATAAGCCTAGAAACAGAATTTTTTTTCAATAAACTTGGAGACAAAACCAGAAACAAATAAAAAAAAATTCCATTAACCTGATAAGAAAACCAGTCAGAGGGCTTGAATGACTTTCCCAATACAATAAAGGGAAATGAACTTAAGGTGACTCTCCCTATGGTAAACAATGAAACAGTAACAAGCCAAGGGTTTAAATCCATGGCCAAGATAAGTGCAGAACATCTGGAGACATGCTCACCTGTATGATTTATGCAATTCCATGACCTTCTCTTCAAGTTCCTTGGTCTGATTTGGAGCCAGTTTAAAATCACTGACATAATCCACGCCATGCAGTTCTGGGTCATAGTCTCCCAGTTCAGACTGGATGGTGTAAGAGCCGAGTAGGGCTAAGGTTGCAAAGGAACAGGGTAGCCGTCCAGCAACGATGTCCTGCCGAAGCTGAAGACATAAATAGTATCTACACCCAAAAAAGAAAAGGCGTGAATGTCAGTAACAACAAAAGAACACAATACAGACAGATGGAAAGGAAGAAGGGTAAAAGAAAGAAGAGAAACAAAGAGGCTAAGGAAACGGACATGATAATTGTTCAGTATAGGACAGTGGGCACACAGCTAGTCATTGTAAAATTGTTTCTCCCTCTTATTTGAAATATTTTCATAAAACAAAAGTACTATAACTATGTTGAACAGAAGGAAGTTTAGAAAAAGAGGAAAAGCAGGAAACATTTGAAGGAGATAAGGAAACTAGTATTTTATTGAGTACACACTCTTAAGTATTATGCACATACATGCATACCATGAAAAATGAAATAAATAGTTTTCTCAAGGAGATAGATGGCATCCTGAGAATGATTTTATGCAAAGTAACCTTAGAAAATGTTACAGGCTTTTCACAGCACTTTGTCAGATTTTAGGAGTTTATGTTAGTCCCTCATTTACATTTTCCTATATTTTTATTTTGTATATGGGTGTTCCGCCTGCACATATATCTGTACACCATGTGGGTGCTGGGAATTGAACCTGGGTCATTAGGAAGAGCGACCAGTGCTTTTAACCACTGAGCCATTGTTCCAGTCCCTCCCTCATTTTAGACAGATGAAAACTGAATCCTAGAGATTATAAATTCCTCAGAAATCAGATCATTAATAACAAAATCAGACTTAGGAAGTGGTTTCTTGGCAACCCAGCAATTCAATTTAACAAATATTGCCAAGCATCTACTTGAAGAGGGCTCCTTGATGCTTTCATAGGCGTGAAAGCTCACAGCAGTACTATTTACCATACAGTAGTTTTCCATTTAGTTTTTGTTCATCTGTGATAAAAATCAAATAAAAATAATTTTCTTAAAAATTCAGTAGGTTGTTTTTATGTAACATTTGTGCTACAAATTAAATGGGCTCAAAAGATGGGTCAGTTAATGCGGACAGCTTAAAAGAGAGATAAAGAAATAATTATCAGGTTGGAGAGATGGCTCAGAGGTTAAGAGCACCGACTGCTCTTCCAGAGGTCCTGAGTTCAATTCCCAGCAACCACATGGTGGCTCACAACCATCCGTTATGAGATCTGGTGCCCTCTTCTGGTGTGCAGATACACATGGAAGCAGAATGTTGTATACATAATAAATAAAATCTTTAATAAAAAAAAAAGAAATAATTATCATGTGATTTTGCTGTTTTCAGCCCTCTGGGGAACGCAGTAGGACAGTTAGGTCTTGCCAGGAGGGCGTGGTTTAAGAGAGGTCCCCACCAACCATGTATTGTAACATGGTAAGCAGACTGGCTCCTGCCAGGTTCCAGCCTTTTAGATTCAGTATCTGTAAGCATGCTTTGAAGGCATCAGAAACTCTGTACTTTAGACTAGCCATTTAATGTTGTTCTCCTTTTCTGAGTGGAGAAATTCCCAGAGCTAATGACAAGAATTGTGGTTCTGTATTTATGTGCTGATTAAGTATTTACCTTGTTATGTCTTCAGTTAACTGTGCTGGGTCAGGTGGATAAAACTTCACATTAAATGTAAAATTCCAAGGAACACCTATAAAAATAAAGACAGGAATTTTGTTTTTATGTCTAAATTTCTAATTGAAAATATTTTTTTCCTTAAATCTTCCAACATTTTTCATGTTTCGTATTTAAAAATATTATTACCTTGGCTTAGATCCCACCTAGGAAAACAAGAAGAACTTGTTTATTTTTTAACCTTAGCACAGTCTTCATCATAGTGAATTAGAACCACACAGGCAAAATTGTATGAAGAAACAATCCTGCAGGTCAACTTGTTTTAGAAATGTAATTTATATTCTGCTAGGAGCCATCAGAAGTCAATGGCTGCTCTTTTCCAATTTTGAAGATATTTATTTATGATATGTAAACATCTGAAATAAAAGTTCATGTGCACATATATACACACAATTCAATGGATGTAAAAGAAACAAAAATTTATGATAAAATAAGTTCAGAAAAAATAATATTTGAAGAATCTGGTAAAGGCCACCTAGGAATTCTTACAGCGTTCTTTTTTTTTAAAATTTCATAAGTCTGAAATTATTCTTAAATTTTTTATTAATAATTTAAAAGATTTACTTCTGTGTATATTCTCTATATATGAATGTGTGTATGTATGTGTGTGTGTGCATACACGTGTGCAGCTGCTCACAGAGGCCAGAAGTTGTTATTGGATCCCCTGGAGCTGAAATTATAGGTGATTGTGAGTTGCCAAACTTACTTCCTCTGGAAGAGCAGGGAATGACCTCAACTGCTAAGCATCTCTCCAGCTCCTTTTTTTTTTTTTTTTTTTTAAGTTTTTCGAGACAAGGTCTCTCTTGTGTATCCCTGGCTGTCCTAGAACTCACTCTGTAAACCAGACTGGCCTCGAACTCAGAGACCCACCTGCCTCTGCCTCCTGAGTGCTGGGACTAAAGGCATGGACCACCACCTCCCAGCTTAATTAATAATTTTTTAAAAAATGACTTTCTGGCCGGGAGGTGGTGGTGCACACCTTTAATCCCAGAACTTGGGAGGCAGAGGCAGGCGGATCTCTGTGATTTCGAGACCAGCTTGGTCTACAGAGCGAATACCAGGATAGGCTCCAAAGCCACAGAGAAACCCTGTCTCGAAAAACAACAAACAAACAAACAAACAAAAAGACTTTCTGGGGATGAATTGCTACACAACTACAAGTTCAAATCTGCATAACCCACTAAAATCTGGACATGGTTGCATATGCCTGTAACCCTAGCACTGTTTGAGGGGCCGGTGGAGAAATCACTGGAGCTTGCTGATCACCAGCTGAATTACAGCTTCAGTGAAGAGACCCTGTTTCATCCGAATAAGGTGAAGAGTGACAGAACAAGACGTCCAACATTTTCCTCCAGCCAGCAACCCCCACAACACACAGGCGCCATGAAATTCACATACACGCTCCTATACACACACACACACACACACACACACACACACACACACACAAGTGGATTCTAAAGTGGCTTTTTTCTGAGACCACAGGTAAGAATATAAGTGGTTGCAACCAATGAAAAGAAGATGCTGTGTAGAATCTTGCAAAGGAGAAAAGAAACAACTCACATTCTACTTTCAGATATTCTATTAAACCCTATTTCCAGGCCTACATCCTAAGTCAGGGTTGTTTTTTTTTTTTTTTTTTTTTTTTTTTTTTTTTTTTTTTTTTTTTTTTTTTTTTTTTTTTTTAGTACACTTTAAAAAAATGGTTATGATCCATTGTAAACCATTTTGGTGGAGGAAATATCAGCATTAAAAATATGAAACAGATATAAAAGAAACATCAAGGTGTCACTCACAGAGGCTGGAGAGATGGCTGAGCAGTTAAGAACACTGATTGCTCTTCCAGAGGTCCTGAGTTTAATTCCCAGAAACCACATGGTGGCTCACAACTATCTACAATGAAATCTGGTGCCCTTTTCTGGCCTGCAGGCATACATGCAGACAGAACACTATACATAATAAATCTTAAAGCCAGATGGTACACATCTTTAACTCCAGCACTCAGGAGGCAGAGACAGGTGGATCTCTGTGAGTTTGAGGGCAGCCTTGTCTACAGAGCGAGTTCCAGGTCAGCTAGGGCTGTTACACAGAGAAACCCTATCTCAAAAAAAAAAAAAAAAAAAGATGTATGTCACTCACAGTAAGAGTTAGAAATTGTTTGGTGAAATTTCTTTCTGATCAATATAAGTTTCAAAAATGATGTTGAGTAAGAAAAGTCACTTAATTTATATGCCATTCAAAAGGTTTCAATGTAGTTATATTTTTCAACAATAAAACCCAGAAGTAATTAAAAACACTCCCCAAAATTAAATGGAATAATTATCACAAAGTTCAAGAAAGTGGTGACCTTTGGGAAAAAGTTGGAGGAGGGCACATGGGCTAAAGGGTTTTTTAAAAATATAATTTGGGTAAATTATATATAATTTTCAGCATACAGAGAAGGCATAAGCATATCTTGTCTTGTGGACTATCACTGGTTCAAACTTTCTAAAAATCCTGAAATTGTGTTAAAATTTTTGATAATTTTTAAATAACTGGCTGCTTTGTAATTTTTTTTTAAAAAAATTATGTGCATTGGTGTTTGTCTTGCATGTATGTCTGTGTGAGCAAGTCGGATTCCCTGGAACTCTCAATTTCAGATGGTTGTGAGTTGCCATGGGGGTGCTGGGAATTGAACCCGAGTCCTCTGGAAAAGCAACCAATGCGGTTAACTGCTGAGTCCTATTAATAAAATTTTAAAGAGTTATTTGTTTCTGTGTGTGTCATGCCGTGTGTGTATGTGTGCATGCTACATATGTGCTGCTGCTAACAGAGGCCAGGAGAGGTTGCTGGATACACTGGAGCTGGAATTGCAGGCAGTTAAGAGCTGCCTGACATGGCCTGACATGTCAGGCTGGATACACTGGAGCTGGAATTGCAGGCAGTTAAGAACTGCCTGACATGGATGAGAGTGGCTAGCCTGACTCAGCAAGAGAGGCCTCATCCAGAACCAAGAAAATAAAGAGTCTTAAAGTTAAGCTGGCAGGAGATAAACTTTAGATAAAAAAAAGATAGATAAACTCAGAAGAAGATACAAAAGGAAATTTCACAAGAAAGGATAAAGCACTAGGGTATGTTGTCCACAGGGATGACTATAAGTACAAAAACAAAAACTGGAAGGAGTGCCCCCAAACTGACAACAGACCTCTATGGATAGGAAGAGATGTGACTGAAAAGAAAGCCAAAGAGCTCAAACTTCTCTCTCCTGGTCCAAAAAAAATGCTAACACACATTCATTCTGGTTGGATGGGAGACATGGGTTTTGTTACACAGCCTCCATACTTCGTTGAATTTCTATTGCAATTGAATTTTTTGGCTTTTTGCTTCAGTGTATTGGATTAAGATCTCTTTATTTCAGAAGATAGCAGGTGAAACACAGGCCAGAGCTAGGTTATAGAACCCAGCCAGCGCGGCCAGAACAAAAGGGACCCGCGTCCCCATGTGCAGCCCCTTAAGAAGCTCCCTTACGTCATCCCGGCTTTCCTTCACCACGCCCCTATGGGCGAGTCCCCGGGTCTACCTGGTACCTGCCCCAGGACTATTGGGCGGGGCTAGGGTGACTCCCTACAATTCCCCTTTTAGTCTAAGAGAGGATTAAAACTTAATAGTGTAAAATATCCAAAACTAACAATCATAAGGGTGAAATACAAGAAGATACAATAATCTGCTATGATACATCCTATGTCTATACTAGCTAAGTCTTAAAGTCATGTGGAAAAAGTGTATAACTTGAATACCTTCTTCTAATCCCAACTCTAAACAATAAGAAGGTCATTCTTAACTAGGCTTACACTACCCTAATACAATAATGGGGAACGGGGGCGTAGCATCTTCTAGGTTACTTCCTGCTGAAATGGGACGATGATGGTCATGTGTTTTTTCTTTTCTCTTTTGTGGCTTTTGCTAGGTAAATGTTCTATCACTATGCTATATGACCAGTCCTAAACTTTACCCTACTTTGAAGAATCTGGGTTGGAGAGATAGCTCAGTTGTTAAAGCACTTGCCTTTTAAGCATGAAAACCTCAATTTGGTTCCAAGAACTCACAGTAAAGAAAAAAGACTGGATGTAGTGACACACTTTTGTGATTCTAGTGCTGGGGAGGTGGAGACAACAGGTCCCTGGAGCTCACTGGCCAGCAAGCCTAGCATACTTGGTGAGCTTCAGGAATTTCAAATAACAAGGTAGACAGAACCCAAGGCACAGGATCCAGGGATGAACCCTGTCCTCCATACACACAACCACTTACACACACACACACACACACACACACACACACACACACACAATCACACACCAATTGAAGAAGAAACTATAGACACTTAGCAAATGCAGAGATATATTCACAAATGCAAACATGAATGTAATAGGAAACTAATGAGAGTAACCCAAAACACACAGAAATACGATTACTTATATATAGTGCATGTAATCATTTAAAAAAACAATGAGATATAGATAGATGGAAAAATAGATAGACAGACATCTATGCATATACACACATACATAGGCAGGCAAAAGATACCAATACTGTTATATAAAAAAGATGAGGCTCATATTTAAATGGACACAACCATGGGTATATGTTTATATACACTCAGACTTGTCTAGAAGGAAGACAAGAAATTAGTTACCATGGTTGCCTCCAGAAAAAGAAACTGCATGACTAAGACAGGGTAGGAAGATTCACCTTGTGCTATTTTCGTTTGCACCTTTAATTTTATACTGTATACCTGTAACATTTATTTTTTAAATTGGATTTTAAAACCATTACAGCATAATTGCTTTGGTTTATTTGTTTTGAGAGAGGATCTCAAGTAGCTGAAATTCTGGTTGCGTGGCTTCAGACATGTGCATCTCTCCTGGGTACATTCTAAAAAATTGATATATGCCTAGAAATATCTTACAGATTATACCAGTTTAACTGATTAGATCTAATGATGTCTTAATTTTTTCATGGGGGCTACAAAGATGCTTGCCACACAAGACTGGTGACTGGAATTAAATCCCTCGAACCCATGTATAGGTGGAAGGAGAGACTGACTCAGAAAGCTGTTCTTTGACCTCTGCTTATATGTACACGTGCACATGAGCGCACACGTATACTCACAATAAAACTTTCAAGTAAATAACATTGCCGTGACTATATGCTAATTATATGATGAAAAGGTTAAAAAGGAAAATGCCTTTCTAACATGTGACGATAACTTTTGGCTTCCTGATATTATATGTTTGATTTACTAGTAGAGTTTTTATGGACTTTCCCGAATGCTGTAGGAAGGTTTTCATCATTATTTTAATAGGGTATGTAGATTTATAGCTTGTTTAGGCTATCTATTGAGACCTGTCTCAAAATAGCAATAACAAAAATAGCATGTTACGTGAACCCACAAGAGTCTCAAGAATTTATTTAGGTATAAAATGGGGATAAACACTCACTGATACACAGCAGATTAGACACAGCTGTAATCCAGCTGCTGTGTCCTGCCATTCTGCCCAGGGAAGATGGGGACCAAGCACTCCTTGCTCTGGCCCCAACTGCCTGAGAACGAGAGTGAGAGAGTGTGTGGCTCTCTCCTTCAGCTTTTGAGCAGTCATATACACAGACCAGACCACACCCTAGGGCTTGCTGACCCAATAGTCATTGGCTAAATAGATTAAAATCCCACAACATTCCCCTTATTTTCTAAATAAGAAGGTTCTAATACCAACATAAAACTATCTAAAATAAGAAAAACTATCAAGTATTGTGCAGAAGAAAGAAAAGAAAAGAAGATGAAACTATAATCAACAAGAACTACATCAAGCAAGAAACATGCTAAATGTCCAGGCCATGGGTAATTGGCAAATTACAAAGATTATTGCAATAGTTGCCCTATCCTGGAGAGTCTAAGTCTTGTACCTAACATGCCCTACCTAAGATATGAGAGGATTTTAACTGTAACTATCCTTCAGGGTTCCTGCTTCGCAAAGAAACTGCCAGACATTCTGCAAGAAATAGAGTAAAGTGACTGATGAACTTTGTCAAAATAGGAGAGACAGTCTTTCAAATCTCCTGCTTCATTGAAAAGTCTGCCAGATACTATGGGGCTGTAGGCTGAAGATGGATGCCCCAACATCACAGAACAACTTTAGGTGACTATCCAGGCAGCCAGATGTCTCCATCATTTCTAGTGAAAGATTCAGGCATTATGCTGGCCTGCCTCTGTTACCTGGCAGAATCCACTCAGGCAGTACCCTGGTCAGCCCAGGGTTCCATAGGAACTAAGTCTGCACACAGGTGCAGTGGACCCCTTTAAAAGACAGACCCCTGCCCACTTACGCTCTCTTCTCTCTATTCTCTGCTCTTCTCTTTTCTTCTCCCACCTAGGCTCTCTCTGCCTCTCTATGGCGACTGGCCATGGTGGTCAGCCATTAACCCTGTTCCTTTTCTCTCCTAGTCTCTCTACTGTGCCAGGCCTATAATAAACTGGTTAATATGTCTAATATGTCTAATAGTCTTATGTCCCATCTTGCACCTCTTCTTTTATTTCTAATTTAAGCAAAAGAATAACATCTAGAGTTTTGGAAGTTGCTTACAGTGAACTTCTTGTTTACTCAGGTAAGATTATATCCTTCTGGGTCTTTGATGGAGTTTAAGACTAGATAGCTATAATAGTTTTCCTTAGTTATGATAAAAGATAAATTAGATATAAAACTTTATATTCACAAAGATAGGATAGATAATAGAGCCTTTTCTTTAATTTGTCAAATACAAATAGACTAAATATTATAACTGTAATTCTTGCTTGATAACCATTTTTGTTATATGTAATTTTACTATGTTAAAGTGAAGACCTTCCTTTTTGATTAGACAGAAATGGGGAAATGATGTGGGATGTCTTTCTGTACATTGTGAATATATGTTGTTCTCACTGGATAATAATAAAAGCTATTTGACCAATAGCCACGCAGGATAGGGTTAGGCAGAACAATCAAACTGAGGACTCAAATGAGGAGGGGTTGAGAAGATACCAGCATCTGCCCATGGAGCAACATGCCTGAGCACCACCAGAAAGCCAAGGGCCACATGGCAATACACAGATTAATAAAAATGGGTTAATTTAAATAAAAGACCTAGCTAGAAATAAGTCTGAGCCATAGGCCAAATATTTATAATTAATATTAAGTCTCAGAGTGGTTATTTGGGAACTGGTGGAGAGACCCCCAATTACAATAGTAATTATAAAATAATAAATTTCAAGCTTTTATCAGTGAAGAACAAATGCAGAAAGTTGCCAGTCCAAAAAAAAAGTTTTGCTCCTCTAATTTAAGAATGCTAAAACAAAAACAAAATGAAATAAAAGAATGCTAAAACAGTCAAGTACAAGGTCTAGAGAAAAACATTTCATGATAACAAAAATGTTTCAGAAACAAGCGAACAGTTCTGGTTGGGTGACAAAATCTGCTCATCAGGATGAGCAATAACCACTGTATTTTCTGGAAGTTTCTTCAAAAATAAATGAAGCTAAAGTGATAGCTAGCTGGCCTTAATCAAGACAAGCCAACAGGTCTGGGGCTCTGAAATATTCATCTGTACATTTTTCACCCCAGAACAGTAGTCTGAGCAGGACATGCAACAGTAAGATGCTCAAGCTAGGAGGGAAGCCCCATTGCCTGATGGTCAGTGGCAAACATGTCTTCCTTCATTTTCCTTCCTTAAATTTGCAAAAGCATGACAAGTACAACCTTCCTGTCTCAGGGCATGTGCTCTAGGGCCATCCGTGGGTGCCCAAAATCTTGAATAGTATTGAACCCACCTTTTTCACCTAAAGTACATATCTGGTAACTTAGGCCTAATCAAATGGCCAACATCACTTTAACTTCGAGGCCATTATTAAATAAAGAAAAGTTTACTTAACATACGCCTGTGATAGTCTATCTGATAACCTCCGAGCTGCTAAGCAACTAGCAAGCTTGCAGCATATACAATGTGGGCATGCTACACAAAAGATGACTCATGGCCTAGACATGATGGTACAGGGCCACACAAGGTTTCACTACCACCCAGAAAAGCACACATCCAGAGATTTCCATTTATGATGACCAGTTACAGAAACTGCAAAAAAGAAAAGCTACCGTACAGAGGGGAAAACACGGAGAGAGCTAGAACACAGGAAAATGGGCATAGTTCATGTATAATAAGGCCCTGAGTTCAATCCCTAACATCAAACAGAAAGAAAAAGGAAAAACAAAAGGACAAAAAGAATACAATAGTCTAGAACACTAAAACGACCAAGATCCAACAGCAAACTCCTCCTAGTGGCTGGCACAGTCTCTTTCTCTGCCATTTTGGGAACTGCCATTTTCATTATTTTCCAACTTCTGTTACTTTCACCTAGCCCTACTTGTCCAACTTTGCCTAGTTGGTTTTTGTTTTGTCTTTTAGGGTCAAAATCTGACCTACATCTCAATAGTGTCAACCTCTACTATGTTTTTCTGCTATGGAATTGGCCCTTCCATGGAAAAGCTTTATCTCCATTTCAAAGCAGTCTGGCACAGTCAGGCCTCTCAAGAGACCAACTCACAGCCAGTGATGGCTGGAGGTCCTCTGGCCCAACTGAAAAAGAGAGAACTACAAAGGGTTGTATCCACTTACCTCGAACCTGTTTTTTTATTTCTTTGGCAGAGTCCAGCCATGTCTGTAAAAAGAAGAAAAGGCATTCACCCGCAGCTCCGGAACACATGGACAATTCAGCACTGGAGGCAGCTCCCTGGCCACCTTGGGAAAATGCCTCCTACATTTCCCCTGGAAGCCTTGGCACTAATTTAAAAAGCATAGTGGTTTCTCAGCAGCGAAAACGAACCAGAGGTTGGTTTGAATCCATGCTCCAATATGTCCTGGCTGAGTATCTAGAGTCTCTCTGTACCTAAGTTCCCTTAACTCTAAAATGTGAATTTTGTCATAGCATCCATCTTACAGACCTGCTTGTATATGTAAGCCTGCTTTGTAAAAGCTGCAAATGTGAAATAAGCACATGCTATTTATAGTGTTAGGGAAAGATTGGTAAAAATCTAGAAAAACGAGTAAGCGACATCAACCAAATCTTATTTTCTCCTCTAACCTTTGGTCTTGTTCAAATTTTCTATGTCAGCAGCACACCCTCTGGTGCACAGTTCATTGCCCAGTTAATGTTTACTGAAATGAATATATCTTGCCCATTCTAATCTCTGTCCCTTCTATGTTCTTCCACCCCACTTAAGAATGTATATGACATCACTACAGCAGGCCTCTTCAACCTGCAATGTCCCCTGCAACATACTGGAACTTTAAAAAAAAAAAAGTTTCACTATTAACAGTACTTCGTAGGACTCTATAAGAGATGTTTAAAGACAGAAACTGCTCAATTTCTAGTATTATTTAGAACACCTTTTTCTTTTTTCTTTTCTTTCTTTCTTTTCTTTTCTTTTAAGATAGGGTCTCATTATGTAGCTCTAGATGGTCTGGAACTCAATGTGTAGACCAGGCTAGCTTTGAACTCACAGAACTCTATCTTCCAAGGGCTGGGATTAAGGTATGTACCACCACATCCAGCTTATTTACATTAGATTTTAAACTATTAAACTATTTAAAATTATAAGATACATACACATTTTGGATGAAACTTGGTGATAGCATATATGCTTGCATGTGCATGGTTCCCAGGTTTAGTCCCCAACAGGCAAGGCAAACACGTAAGAATTATAACATTAACACAATTCCAGATGCCCTATTCTTTTCTAACTAACCCTTTTCTTTCCCTCATTCAAAAGACTTAAAGACTTAAAATTCAACTTTGGTAGTTTCCAGATGGGGAGTATATCCCTTCCTCACCTCTTACCAACACAGACGGAGCACAGAATGACCAAATATATGCCCTACCAAATGAACGGGCTTGACATTACACTTTTACAACTTGGTTATATACTACTTTGGCAGTTATAGACAGTCACCACCAAAGACTATCTACATAAGAGTGAGGATTTCCTTTTATATTCCCCCACAATTAACATGAATGACTAAGGAATATTTGTTAATAAATACCATTTAATATGATGCTATTCTACAGTATAAAAATGAATTACATATTTGACTAGAGGTAGCTCAACAGGTAAAATGCATGTCATGTAAGCATGAGGACCTGAGTTTGATTCCCAGAATCCAGATAAAAAAATGTTGGGCTAGCCGGGCGTTGGTGGTGCATGCCTTTAATCCCAGCACTCAGAAGGCAGAGGCAGGTGGATCTCTGTAAGTTTGAAGCCAGCCCTGAGTTCCAAGACAGGCTCCAAAGCAATACAGAGAAACTCTGTCTTAGAAAAAAACAAAAACAAAAACAAAAACAAAAACAAAAACAAAAAATAGTTGGGCTTGGTTGTGCATGCTTACAATCCCAGCACTTGAAGTGTGGAGACAAGAAGATCCCTGGAGCTTACAGGTCAGTTATTTTATACAAACCAGTAGGTTCCAAGACTATTGAGAATCCCTGCCTCAAAAATAAAATAAAGCACAAAAGAAGAAGACACCCAGTGTCAACTTCCTGGCCTCTATACACATGCATGCATGTGTGTGTGTGTGGTCGAGCATCAGAGCGCGCGCGCGCACACACACACACACACACACACACACACACACACACACACACACACACACACACACACAAAGTGCATACTTGTTTGAACCCTGTCATATAGTAAGTATCTGAATGTTTCCCTTTGCCTCTCATTTGGTACAAAGGCAAGGGAATTTAGACACCAATGCTAAGTCTGGTGGGATCTCTGAAAACCCTCAGCTTATATGCAATCCAAAATGCTTTACGTTGGAGAAGGTATCTGCTCCCACAACAGAAAGCACCATATTCTCCACTGTTTTAAGAGACTTCCCAGCTCTTCCTTCCAGAGATCTCACGAGCAATTCTAAGACTGAGGCCAAAATCCCCATCAAGCTGACACTGAAAGGCAAATCCAGATTTGTGTCAATCACGTGGGAGCTTCAAAGTCTAAGCTACCTTGCAGAACTGATGTGAGTTGGCTCAATAGGAAAAGCACCACCACCAAGCCCGAGTCCAATCCCTAATCTCTTGTGGTAGAAGGAGAAAACCAATTCACAAAAGTTATCCTCTGACCTTCATACATGTACTAACCCTAACTCCAAGCCCTGCCCCCCAAATGAATTAATGCAATTCATAATTGTTTGAAAAAGATCAAAAGCTGAGGTTAAAAACAGATCAAAAGCAAAACCAAGACCTTCTAGTGATAATAAAATCAGTATCTAGACTTCCATGCTCAATTTAAAATATTTAATTCTTGGGCTAGAGAGATGGCTCAATGGTTAAGAGCACTTCCAGAGGGCCCAGGTTCAATTCCCAGTACCCATGTGGCAGCTCACAACTATCTGTAACTCCAGTTCAATGGCTTCTGACACCCTCACACTGACATACATGTAGGTAAAGCACCAATGCACATAAAATAAAACTACATTTAAAAAGAATCCAATTTTTGGTATTTTATTTAGCCAACAAATGTATGAGAAATGATTCTATGTGGATTGCATTGCCATTATTTTTTTTTAAGATTTGTTTATTGATTATATAATATAGTATTCTGCCTGCATGCCAGAAGAGGGCTCCAGATCTCATTACAGATGGTTGGAAGCCACCATGTGGTTGCAGGGAACTGAACTCAGGACCTCTAGAAGAGCAGCCAGTGCTCTTAACCTCTGAGTCATCTCTCCAGCCCCCATTGGCATTATTAAAAAGACTAAAAATAACACTAAAGGAGCAGTCACTAATGAGAGAGCTGATTGGGGAACAACAATTTGCTGGCCCTGGACTATGGCAGTGCTATGCTGAAGCTCATAGAATCTCAGCACATGGATCCAAAGGAACTTTAGGAAATAAGGGAATCTCTTGAAATATGAATCAGCCAGACAAAGAAGAATTAAAAGTAACTAGATGGGCACAAAAGTACAAAAGAGTTGCTATGTGTAGTTCAGCATAACCTGAGCACACAGGTATGAAGAAGAGGTAAAACTGAGAAGGACAGTAAGGGTCCAAACATGGAGACAGGACTCTGCTAAGAAACCTGGGCTTCATCAAGCTCAAGGCAAGCAGAAGCCACTGAAGGGTTTAAAATAAAGGAATGACATTAATTATAAGGAGTATGACTAGACACAGACTGTAATTGAGAACAAATACGGTGGTTTAGTAAAGGATAAGGTTGTTGTTTTGTTTAAGACAGTATTTCTCTGTGTAGTCCTGGCTGTCCTGAAACTCATTTTGCAGACCAGGCTGGCCTCGAATTCACTGAGATCCACCAGTCTCTGCCTCCCAAGTGCTGGGATTAAAGGAGTGCACCACCACTACCTGGCAGATTCAGGTGTCTTTCCACAATTCATTAGCTGTACAACCTTGATATGGGATAATCTTGCTCAACTTCAATTATTTTAACATTAAAATTGTAGGAATAAACATAGTAGGTATCTTCTCTTGGAATGAGGAAAAGTACATTAGTAATGCTCTCTCTTAAAAAAAAAAAAAAGTAAATTCTAGAGGAAAATCTGAGAGACTACATTCACCAGTGTCTTAGAAAGGTAGGTACAAACATTGTTACCAAGATGAGAACAGGCAGGTACAAACAAGGTTACTAACATGGGACCGAGTAGGTACCAACATAGTAGTAGCATGAGACCAGCCAGGCAGGCACAAACACTGTTACCAGCATGAGACCAGGCAGGCACAAACACTGTTACCAGCATGAGACCAGGCAGGCACAAACATTGTTACCAGCATGAGAACTGAAATTGCTCACTACTTACTTGCCTGGTCTCCTTCCTTACCTTAGAGGTTGCACTATCCCAAAGAGCTAAACCAAAGTAGTCTTCTTCCAACAGATTGAGGTGCTCACAAACTCGCTTAAGCAAATCCTGTCCCTTAGCATGTTTCTGTGAAGATATACAAACACTAGTTAAGGGTTCTTCTTATTATTGTATTCATCAGCTAATTTTTCAAAAAATCTTCTTTTCCAATTTCCTTTTTTTTTATCTTTGGTAATTAATACACTCTCACTACACAGTCTAAATAGAACATGATTTATAAAACCCTTCTCTTCCTCAATGTCAGCTTATAAATGCAACACATTATGGCACTTTGGACATAGCCACACTGCTAAGTAAAATCCCACATCCCTATTTTCTCCACCTTCATCCAAAAAAAAAATCACACCCCCAAACCAGGGTCTCATTATGTGATCCTCCTGCCTTATATTGTTTCTTTCTTTCTTCCTCTCTCTCTCTCTCTCTTTCTGTCTTTCTTTTTTTTAGACAGTGTGAGTAGTGCATTAGCTGTCCGGGAACTCACTCTGTAGACCAAGCTGTCCTGGAACTCAGAGATCTGCCTGGTTCTGCGTTAGATTCTTAAGTGCTAACACTACAGGCATGCACTGCCACACCCAACTAAGCACCTCCATTCATTTGTTCTCCCTCCCTCTCTGCCCCCCTAATTTTTTTTTTATGCAGTATTTCCTGAACCATGTTATGGGCCACTACCAGTTACCATGATCAACTAAATTACTAACTCAACCTATCAAAACAGATGATAATTTGTGGCTGTGGAAATCATTTTCAAAATAAGTATCAACAAGAACAAGCTATACCTGAACTCCCTACAACCTTTCTGAGAAATAGGAAACAGACAGCCTATTGACACTAGCTGTTACAACGGCTATTCAGTAGTGCTACAAATCATTTTCTTTACAAAGTCAAACCACTTCTAAAGCTGTGAGCTTAAACTCTTGCTTATAAGGAAGTATGCCCTAATTTACAGACTGTTATTTAAAGTTAAAACAGCAACCTGGCTCCTCTATTTCCCAGCTAATCAACTGAGTCATTCAATTAATAATGGCTTCTCAACTGTAAAGAATTTTTATACCCATTTACTAAAAAACAGAAACATGTTAATGCCTTCTGAGAAATATATACAAATACACTTCAAAAACTACAAATCTTTTTTTTCCCCCAGTTCTAGATACTGAACCCAGACCCTTTTGTGTGTTAGGACTGAATTGCAGGTGCTTTTTTACCGAGACATCTAGTAAATTCTTTTCAAACATAATCAAAGGGATAGCTGGAAATAGTATCAGAAATCCAGCCTATCTTAGGAAATCTGGTCATAAAGAGACCTTATATATATATATATATATATATATATATATATATATATGTTCTATTATAAAAGTAACCATGCACTTAAGTCTCAAGATCTCAACAGATTAAGGGACGAAGAAATAAGACTCACAATTTTCCCAACACTTCATTTCCAGAAAGCCACCATTAATATTTCCGTCCACAGAATGGTCCTCAGGGTGGGTCTTGTCTTTAGCAGCCCCACATCGCACACGAATCGATTATAGCTCTGACTCTGGATTAAATGCACTCACCTCCACCACACATTCATAAATTGTGTCATCCAACAAGGAGACCTTGCAGTGCATGTCTCTGTGTCTCCTGATGGGCTTCTGCGAAGCCTCAGGCTCTCTCTCCGCCTTTGACTCGGGGTCCTCCTTCACTCCTGCCCTGGAGCACTCTTCAATCCCTTCCCCTTCCTTCGTTTCAGACTCCGGATCCTCTCTGTGTTCTTCCTGAGCTGGCTGCACATCCAGGACTCCAAGTTAGTGAAAAGAAATTCACAAAATGGGCTACACATACTCCTACCTGAAGTAAGTAGTACCCCCACCAATAAAAACATGAACAGAAAGAAACTATTAAAACAAAAATAAGTTGAGCCATATTAACAAAATCATATTTTTTCTAACATGTATTATGGTTTCCCCAAAGATGTTCAGACTTGACTATTCTTAATTTTTTCAGGTAGAATCCTACCTAATTGGTGAGTTACTGTGGGACACCAATCTACTGCTCTCAGCATTATATAATATATTCTTCCTGACTGTAACATTATATAATATATAAGTTCATCAAATTTTTGTTGCCTCTATCCCATGATCTTCCGCTTTAGAAAGGTAGCCTTGTGAACTGTGAATAAAATTATTTGTCCCAGGCATTAAATTTTATAAACAGCTAAAAGAAGTTATTGATACCTTGTAGTTCTACATATCTGCATTAAGCAAATGAAGGTACCAGGCTAAAAACTGTGGCCGGGCCCCAACTCTCTCTACTTTCCTACATCCAAACAAGGATGATGAAGGAAGAGGAAGACTGAAGATGGCCTCCTCCAGCAATTGTTACATCATCCCAATGTTACACAAGAAAATCAGAATATTTTGGCACACATTTTCTTACTGATTTTTTAAGACAGCTAACTAGCCTCAAACCTGTAGTTTTCTTTTGTCAGTCTACTAAATGCTGGGATTAAGGGCCACACTGGATTATTTTTTTTTTCAACACAATAAATCTATTGAGAGTTTTAACTAAATTCTATGAATTCTTTTCTTCCAAAAAATACATGGTTGACATTTAGTTAAAAACAAACAAACAAAACAAAACAGGATTGAGTTGCTTGCCTGCTGCATTAGATTCGGGGGTGGCTGACAGGCTTGCATGTAGCCTTCACAACCATGTCATGCAGCCTCAGAGTGGGCTTCGGGAGCTATCATTTGTCCTATCCCACTAACACCCTGAATGCTGCTCCTTCCATCCACACGTGAGTGGTCCCCAGGCTTGCAGCAACAAGCACTTTATCCCCTGAGCCATCTCGCTGGCCCAACATTTAAAGTTTTTAACTTATCAAGGTCCATCTATCCTAGAACCTGGCTTATACAGTAGGTTTTCAGTAATTATTTTTTATAAGTAAATAAATATTTAAAACTAATAGATGAGTGCTGGGTATGGGTGTAACCCTTTAATCCCAGCAGTCAGAAGGCAGAAGCAGATGGATCTCTGTAAGTTAGAGGCCAGCATGGTCTACATAATAAGTTCCAGTTTAGTCAGGCCGACATTATAAGACCTCTCAAACAAACAAAATCTAGTAGATCAGTCAGTAAAGTTTGACATGCAAACATGAGGGCCTGTCACTCTTCTGTGATTTGCAGTCCCTAGCTTGATTCCACAGATCTCATTCATAACTACTGTGGTGGTTTGAAAGAAAATGGCCCCCAAAGGGAGCAGCACTATTAGGAGTGGCTTTGTTAAAATCGGTGTGACCTTGTTAAAGGAAGTGTGTCACTGTGGAGGTGGGCTTTGAGGTCTCACATATGCTCAAGATACCTCCCAGGGGCTGGAGAGATGGCTCAGAGATTAAGAGCACCGACTGCTCTTCCAGAGGTCCTGAGTTCCATTTCCAGCAATCACATGGTGGCTCACAACCATCTGTTACGAGATCTGGTGCCTTCTCTGGTGTGCAGATATACATGGAAGCAGAATGTTGTAGACATAATAAATAAAATCTTAAAAAAAAAAAAAGGTACCTCCCAGTGTCTTAGACTACTTTCTGTTGGCTGCAAGTCAAGATGTAGGACACTAAGCTACCTCTCTAGTACCATGTCTGTCTGCATGTCACCATGTCCCACCATGATGACAATGAACTGGACCTCTGAACTGTAATCCACCACAATTAAATGTTTTTGTTTATAAGAGTTGCCGTGGTCATGGTATCTCTTCCCAGCAATAGAAACCCAGAGACAACTATTTAGTGAATCTTGGTTTTTTGTTTGTGTATGTGTATGATTCATGTATATGCTTTGTACATGTGAGTGTACATTTGAGGAGTTGGCTCTTGACCTCTACCTTGTTGGGTTTCTTGTTTCAGTCTAAGCTAGCTGACTGACCCACAAGCTTGCAGGTGAGTCTCCTGTCTCCACTCCTCATCTTTCCACAGGAATGCTACCACATATAGATTTGTGCTACCACATCGGCTTTTTATGAGGGTTTTAGGAATGTGGATTAAGTCACCCGGCTTGTGCAGCAAGCCTTTTTACCCACTGAGTCACCTATCCAACCCTGGGTCTTATTTTTAATATTGTTTCACTAACAGCAGTACCTATTATGATTTCATCCTATAGTCAGCCTTTGGTACTCTGAATATACAAGTAACATTTCTAGAAACAATTGTAGTAATTTTAGAAAAGCCTAATGAAACTATATACCCCAAACTTTAGACCTTTCATAGAAACACACACAGGACTTAAACTTTAACAATCCAGATAATGTCCAAAAGCTACAGAAGTAAACATTTGAAAATACCTCTTAACTTTGTAAGTAGTAAGGTTGAAAACAAGTAAGATTTCTAGAAAACAGTTTTGAGTTATACTAGTAGTGCTTTTACATGTTTTTTGGACAAAAGAATAACTGATGTTTAATTATACTGATACAAAGGTAAAAGCCCTGTATGAATAAATACTACAGAGGGGCCAATGAGATGGCTTATCAGGTAACAGCGCTTGCTGCCAGGCCTGTTACCTGAGTTTGATTCCTGAAGGCCACACTGTGGAAAAAAGAGACTGACTCCCCAAAGCTGTTTTCTGGTCTCTGTATGCACACTGTGATACATGCATGAACACACACACACACACACACACACACACACACACACAGGATGGAATTAGCATTGCAGTAATGTACTCCCTAGAGCATATAGCCCAAACAAGACAAGCATGGCTCAGATCTATCACATACCATGGGATGGTCTGAGTCCTTCACATGGATTAATGGAGATTTTCACAAAAGGGTCACACTGGTTGATAACTATCCCATTCCTTTCATTCTACCAAAATGAACTCGAAACCACTTCATTTCTTCCTGGCTCTCCCATTAAAACTCAAATCTGCCCCATTATTATAGCAAGATGGTACATGGACTGAATAAACTCACTTGATAATTTTCTTTCATTTCTTTGATTTATAGAGTACATTTTTTTTTAAAGTCAGGTTTCAACTGATCACATTAATTTCTTTAGAGCAGAAACTCTTCATGTTATTTATCACTATCAACGCCTAAGTCAACTGGCTTAAGAAATAATGCCAAATATTCTTCTATGAAAAGTGCAACATATAAAGTATCTTCATTACACTCTCCCCCACAGTCGAATGCCTTACCTGCGTTTCTATACTGCTTAGTGAATGAAGATCCAAAGACGGGTCTGTTTTGAGTTCAGGTTCAGGAGCTGCAATAAGGGCCTTTAAAATGACGTCTTCATCAAGGCTGGTTCCAAACTCTATCTCCTTTTGACCTCCTTCACCTTTTTCTTTATCTGACTCTGCTTCTCTGCCTTCTTCTTCAGAAACCTGAGACTTGGGCCTTTTGAGGAATGAGGAGAGCAGTCTCGACAGGCCTCTGCTTTCTGACGTCCGTTCCTTGTTCTTGGTCAAGTCTTCATGTGTCGGAGTGTCCCCACTGGGCGCTTTCAGCCTCTGCTCACACTGATTGCCGCCCTCAGCTGCTGGTTGGGAAGCCTCTTCTAGCTGAGTTTCCTGCTGGCCTGAGTTTGTGGCTCCCTCACCTTCTTCCTTCTGTTGCTGATGCTGAGAATTCTCAGCTTCAACCACTAAACTCTTCTCTGTTGTCATGATGTTCCTTTAAAAAGGAAGAGGAAAGGGGGAACTATTATAGGCAAAACACATTGCTGCAGGCCAAACCCCTAAACCTCAAAAGGCTAATATATTTGGATTTAATAACCAACAGAATTCCATCCATTAAACAGAAGGTCTTAAATTAAAGCACAAAAAGATTTTACCTATACATCCTGGATTAATTATTAATGCCTGAACTCATGAAAAACTATATTAAAATAGTATCCACTAAGGCCAGGTAATGAAATACACCATAATTAAATTCAAGGCTCAGAACTGTACATAGCAAATACACCTTTTATATTCCCTAAAACAGGGCCTTATCTGGGCACTGTCCTTTCACAGTGTCAATCAAAAATGCAAGATTTGCAGAAATCCCAAATCCTAGAGATGATTAAATTAGAAAGATCTGCAAATCTCTTTTGCTTTTCTTCCTCATATTTTTTAGTATGAAGACTTACCCATTAGGAAGAACAAACACAACACAGAATTCTAATCATTTGCTATCAGAGCTGACAATAGCAAAGACAAGTATACAGTCAAAGTAATCACACAAAAGATATCCTTAGCTTTCATGATGTGATACTAAATTATGTCCGATTTCAGAGGCACCCAATTTTAAGCTCTTTAAAAGAATTTTCTTCTGAGAAATATGATTTTGAATGCTCAGCATTTTTGAAAGTAGGAAGTGAAACCATTATACTGGGGGTGAGAAATAAGAAAAGTGCTATAGGGGAAATTTTAGAAAGCCAATGTTGATTTATTTTAGGGGAGAAGGCAGGCTACAAACCTCACGTATTTGAAACTTGATGGTTTCTAGCCTCTTGATGTCAAAGCTCCAGTATTCCTACTCAAGCCTCACTATAAGAATCAAAGCACATCATCACTGTTGTTCCAGTTCAGATGTCAAGTCTCTGAGAGGGGCCTCCCAGGCACTCAACTTTTTAGCAGCCACCAATGATAGCCTCTCAGCCCTACAACACTTACGACCTTTGTGGATTTAGCTTGTTTACTGCCCTTCTTCCATACCCCTCTCTCCATCTAAAATACAAGATTTCATGTAGTTGTTGTTTTGTTTTGTTTTCGAGATAGGGTTTCTCTGTAGCTTTGGAGACTGTCCTGGAACTTGCTTTGTAGACCAGGCTGAGTCTTTTTTTTTTTTTTTTTTAACAGAAACATTTTATTTTTAATCTATGCATGTGTCAATATACATGTGTGTGCAAGTGCCTGAGGAGGCCAGGCAGGGTGTCAGGTCTCCTGGAGCTTGAGCAACAGGCAGTTGTAAGCCCCTCTAGTGTGGGTGCTGGATATCAAACTCAGGCACTCTGTAAGTGATGCAAGTACTCTTAACCACTGAACCAATTTAACCAAATCCCCTGAGTCTTATCACTGCATACCCTATGCCTAGAACAGTACCTACATATACAAGAGGTTAAGTGTTTGCATGTATGGTTCATGTATGTGAGAGTGTGTGAACATGTATGGGGGAGGCCAGAGATCAACTTCGGGTGTCTTCATCAATCACCCTCCACTTTATGTTTTTGAGACAGGGTCTGTTACTGGACCTGGAGTTCACTGCTTTGGTAAAGTTGGCTGTTCAGTGAGTTCTAGGGATCTGACTAGCTTTGCCTTCTCAGTGCTAAGTATTACAGACATGTGACACTGAGCTCAGTTTTTTTTTTCCCCCGTGGGTGTTGAGGATCTGAACTCTGATCCTCACGCTTGTAGGATAGCAGGCACTTTTTCACAGCCCCATCTCTTCAGCCCCTTAACACAAGTTTGGGGCTTTTTCTTGTTTTGTTGGGTTTTTGTTTGTTTGTTTTTGTTTTTGAGACAGTCTCATTGTGTAGCTCTGGCTGTTCTAGAACTCACTCTGTAGACCAGGCTAGCCTCAAACTCAGAGATCTGCCTGCCTCTGCCTCCCAAGTGCTGGGATTAAAGTGTGTCCACCACTGCCTGGCTTATTTTCTTGTTTTATTGTGAATGCCAGAGGACAACTTGTAGGAATCAGTTCTCTCCTTTCACCCCATGGCTTCTAAGGACAAGTTCAGGTTAGACTTGGCAACAGGTGCCTTTATCCACTGAGCCATCTCACTGGCCAAATAAAATTTTTTTAATGACTTGATTTCACCTGAGTACATCTGATATCTATAAACTTCAAAGGCAGCCTCTAAATTTATTCAAGCATAATTATTCATCCATCAAATCTTCATCAAATATTTAGTACAGGTCCAAGGCTAAGTGCCAATGATGCCACAGTAAACAAAACAAAACAAGCAAGGTCTCTATGTAGTGACGTTTACTCTCTCAATTCAACTTTATACAATGAAAGAAGAGTGCAACAGAAATCTTAGACTAATTGCATATGCATGGAACAGAACAAGGAAAAGGGCAGCAGCTAATACTTGCACTGGGCACTGTTTTCTGTGTCAGGGCCCATGTTAGGGGTCTTATCTACATTATCTCAAATCTTACAATAACCTCACCCCCCTCCCCCAAAAAGGGCAGGAATCATCTGATCTTATAACTGAGGACACATAAATTCAAGAAATACCCAGAACATGCTCTGTCTCATAGGATCCTGGATGCTAAGTTGGGTCAGGCCTGGTTAACACCTGGACGGGAAGAGTAACTTGCCCAAGCAAACACTGCTAGTAGACTGCACATCATTACAAATGGCGCTGAAATAAATGAAGGCATAGTAAAATAAAAAGAAAGCCCTCAGAAGGACCCTTACTTCCATCTGCTTTTAAACATTAACAGTATTTTCAAAGTAATAATATTTTAAGAAGTACATCTAATCTTATTTCCTAAGTCACTGAAATGACTCTGAGCAATAGAATACAAAATATGGTCTTTGCAAACACTTCACAAAGCATCTACCAATCAACACTCAGGTTTTATTTTTTGTTCCTTAGGCACACCTGTGCTTTAAGAGAAATAAAATGGTGATCATCTTCATATCAGCAACAGAAAACACATACATCCCAAATGACCTTTCTTTAATTAAAACAACACAGAAAGAAAACCAGATGCTGAACCTGTCTTTGTGCAAGAATAACAAGAGCACCATGATAGTCTCTTTGCAAAACTAAGCAAGGAAACTTGAGGAAGACACACTATTGCCCGTGGGTTACACACACAGCTTCACATCTGCCTGACCAAAAGGGAACAGAAATCGTCTCTGTACTAAAATTTTCTGACACAGAAAACTTTACACCAGCTTCTCTCATAAAGACCTCCAAAACATTGCAAATCTGTCATGAAAGTCTTATCAGGCATGAAAATAACTTTGCCTCTGATAGTCCTGAACTTGCAGCTTTAGTAGACAGAGTATTTATTCTTGTGTTCTAGGGCTTTTTCTTCTTCTAGTTTTAAAGACAGAAGCTTCATCTAAGGGTATCCCTATAACTGCCTGCATAGGAAAATGTCTTCTATCAGAAAGTGCTGAATAAGTACTCTAGTTGTTACATGTGCACAGATGTTAACAATCCATGTGCTATCTGCTTGCTAAACTTCAACCTGCACAGAATCAACTAGTCATCTTGTTAAAATACAGATTTAAGTTCAACCCATTTGAAACACAGACTAAGAGTCTGTCTTCCTGTCAGGTTTGTTGCTCATGCTACTGGCACACTGAAAACACTTTAAATAGCAAAGCACAAACCCCACAAAGTCACTTCAGGAAGGTACTTCAAAATGCCTAATGAACAAAAACAGCAAAGAGCCACTTCCAGAAAGTGGAATATGTTGCTTGTTAAACTAATACAAGAAGCAAACAAAGCCCCATGTTATTAAGCATGCAAACAGAACCATTAACATTCTTTAGAACTCAAAATCAGACCTTGGAATTTTTTTAACCACAGAAGTGTTCAAATGCCACATTTCCCATGTAGACATGACACTTGCCCAGATGCAGCATTCTGGATATCTCCTGTTATAAAATCTCTTTACCATTAGGACATATGATTAAGACATACAAAGAATTGCAGAATAACAACGATCAATAAAGAATCGATATACTTTGCCACACAAAAAAAATTTTTTAAAAAAAAAAGAGTGGGGTGTGGTAGCACACATCTTTCATGCCAGCACTCAGGAGACAGAGGCAGGCCAGACAGAGTTTGAGGCCAGCCTGAACTACAGAATGAGTTCTAGAATAGATGGGGCTACACAGAGAAACCGTCTCTAAAAACAAACAAAAAATGAATAAGTAAACAAATAATTGTTTTTGGCTTTTTCAGACAAAGTCTCATATAGCCCAGGCTAACCTCAAACTGTGTATGCAGCCAAGGTTGACCTTGACTCCGGATCCTCCTGCCTCTATCTCCTGTGTACTGGAACTAACAGTACATGCTACCAATTCAGCTCAATAAATAATTATTTTTCAGTAGCTCAAACTTTTCCTGGCAAATCAGTGATGCACACGATCAAGTTCTTCAGGTTACAGATGACAGGCTGGATAGCAAGAGGAAGATACAAAGTCAGCAGCAGAACCAGGACACCCTCTACAGACAGACTGGCACTGCTGAATGGTGCTACTCTCATCCTGAATACAAAGCCCAAAGGAAAGTATCTATTTACTTCAGGTCACAGAGAGGTCTTTTGATTGTTGTAAAGGGGGTGAAATCAGCACAACATTGAAGACAAAGTGATGAGCCCCCATTCAGACTCAATCTTAATCCTCCAAACCCCGAGAGTTACACTGGCATCTGGAATCAAAGATGCTTTTGTCCTAACAGTGTGCATCTGTTATCTTCAGGCAAATCAGATGGTTAAAGGCCCCATACTAAGCTTATTGAGAAGGCCAAATGAGGGCTTTCATCGTCTTCTTCTTTTTTAATCTTCCTTAAATTAATACAGTTGGTGTTCCATTAATGCTTTTAATGTGAAAAACTTTGTGAGAACAGTACAATTTGGTAGCATTTATAAAAGCTTTCCTTGCCATCCACATTTAAGGATAAAGTTTAATGTTTTACTCTTCAAATTAGCTCATAGAGTATC